ATATATATATATAGATTGGATCCAATGAGTCCACTTATTTAAAGTGTTAATGTGAGACTCATTTCTAGCTACTAGATTGGTACATTATGTGTGACCAAGATTTAACTCTTCAATTAAATAATATTTTTTTTATTTTTATTACTTAATTCTTTATTTTTATTATTTTAATTATTTAAATATTATTTTGACAATTGACTATTGACTTCGGTGTTGACTGTTGACTTCCGACGTTGACCGTTGAAATCCAACGTTGACTTCCGGTGAAAATCGTTGACTTCCGGCGTTGACTTCTATCATTGACCGTTGACCCTTAGTATGCATTGTGTATGAAATAAATATGCATACAGTACTATGCACTTAGTATGAACTAAATATGCATAAGAAATGAATTATATATGTTATCCTTATGAACTAAATATGCATCAATAATATCAACTATGTATGCATTGTTTATGTACTAAATATGCACATTTTACTACCTAAATATACATCATGAATGAACTAAATATGCAACGAAAATATGCAATAAAATATATATTTTATACAAATAAATTAAATATAATAATTAATGATTTTTATTATATAATTAATTTTAATTTTAAATTGATTAATAACACTAATAAATTGTTATGATTGGATCTCAAATAAAATAGGTATGTACTGTTCATGATCTAAATATGCATTTCGTAAGAACTAAATATGTATCATGAATTAACTAAATATGCATCATAAATTAACTATATAAACATCCTTATATATTTAATTTAAATATAACAAGTATGCATTTCGTATTAACTAAATATGCATCATAAATTACCTATATAAAATGTACATTTTATTGCATATTTTTCGTTGCATATTTAGTTCATTCATGATGCATATTTAGTTCATAACCGATGCATATTTAGTTAATAATAGGTGCATACTTAGTAGATATTATTGGTGTATATTTAGTTCATAAGGACTGCATGTGCAAATCATATCCCATGCATATTTAGTTCATATTGAATGCATTACTGGATGCATATTTACTTCATACATATTGCATACCAAGGGCAACATGTCAACGCCGGAAGTCAATGATTTTCGCCGGAAGTCAACGGCCAACGTCGGAGTCAACTAATAATTATTTTATTATTTAATTAATATATATTTTAAGAAGTGGACTCATTTTAAGGAGTTGACTCATTGGATCCTCCCCATATATATATATATATATATATATATATATATATATATATATATATATATATATATATTTATTCCACCACCAATCCAGGTGCATCGGCTAGTGTAAAAAAAAAAAAAATTACTCATCGTCCCAAAATTCACCAAAAACTGACCTATTTTAAAAAATCATCTCCAACACCACCAAGTGAATCTCCTTTTTTAGAAGAAAAAAAGGTATGTTAACCTAAACTTATTTTTTTTTTTAAATATGTTCAATAAATAATTTTTTGAAAACATTTATTATTTTTGTTCCTAAAATTATTGATTTTTCTAGTACCATTTTATTTTGTTGAACTCATATTTTTTTAGAGTTAAAGAAAATGGAGTTTTTGTGCTTAAAAAAAAAGGGGTTGTGTTTTGGAGTTCATGACTTTTTTGTACCGTTTCTTGAGCCGTTTTTTAGAGGTTTAGGAGCTGAATTAACAGTTTGTTGAAGAATAAAATTTTTTGTTGAACAGAAAACAGTTTATTGATCAAGAAAGGACAATAAACAATTTCTTGTTCATCACATAGTTCTTGTTGAAGAAAGAGTTTCGTGTTTTGTTGAAGAATAAACAATTTTTTGAACAAAAAACAGTTTTTTGAACAAAAAAGGACAAGAAACAGTTCTTGTTCAAGACAGTTTATTGTCGAAAAAACTGTTTCTTGAACCAGAAACAGTTTCTTGAACCCAAAACTATTTTAGTTCAACCAACCACGGAGCAGATCCCAGGCTTGAAGAATCCAGGTTGACCACGACCTTGCAAGTCTCCGGATCAGTGGTAGTAACCACATCAGATGGACACTCCTTGTCGTCAATCCCCAAGGTGCCGGCCCCATTGTAGGCTTTCTTGGCGACTCCCGAGGTATCGGCCCCATCGTCGACTGCCGCCTCAGCCTCAAGCCTGAATGGCTCGTAGCCGGATATCCGCTGCCCAGGTCCCAGGCACCACTCCTTCGAGGGCTGGGGACCGAACTTCTCTAATCTAACAACGGTGTTGGTGGCCCAGCCTTTGAGCTGGCGGACCACCATGGCTTCATCCTCATCAATCTTACAAATCACGCCCTCGAGACCGTCCCCGAGCTTGTGCTTCGCAATCTTTGTGCGCATGATCGCCCTGAAGTCGTCCATATCGGTTTGGATCTCCTCGAGGTATTAGACTTGGACCTCAGGGTAGGACAACAGCGAGGGGAGAGCGATGGTCTCGCCTTTCTCCTTAGCCGTCTCAGTGAGGAGAAGGACTTGGGACGCCATCCTCTTGGCATAAGCATCGAATGTCTCAACCTTATCCTCATGCTTGCGACGAAGGTTGGCTAGTTCGGCCGCATGTTTCTTTTCCATCTCGGCAGGGTCAGTCGCGGGCTTCCCCTTCAACTCGGCCATCTTCTCGGCCCATGCCGCCTTTGACTTGACCAACTCGTCGATAGCCTTGGCCGTCGCCACCTTGGCCTTAACAGTCTTGTCATGCTGAAGGACGAGCTCGTTCACTAGGACGGATGTCCTCCCCACCTTATCATTTGGGGAATGGATGTGCCCCTCGTAATGCTCATGGGCTTCCTTCATTTTTCGAAACTCGGCCCCCTCCTTTTGCACCCGGTCTAAGGTGTGGACGAGCTCGACCATCGCCCGGGGTATTGTCACCATGTAATGCTAGATTAGCTTGTCGGGGTCAGCATCGAGACGACAGCCTTGGCAGTTGGGGTCCACGACAGCATGGGGTCCCAAGCAGTCATTACCACCTGGTCGAGAAGACGATGCACGTTGGGTAGGTTGACCGGCACGACTGACTTTAGGTAGACAAACCACTGGTCCAGGAACCCAGAGAGATCCCGGAGGAAGCGTGTCTTCCTCTTTGTGTCGATAGGGACATAGGTCGACATCCAACCTGATGAATAGAGGTCGACCTCTCATGATCAAGGCTCGTACACTTGCTCTCATCGACCCTCTTCCTCTTAGGGGACGCTTGAGCCGCGTTCCTCTCAACAGCCATGTTCTCCTCTCCGGACACGATCAGCTCCTCTTTACGAGCCTGGTGTCTCGTCACTTGAGCCTCAGCACTCGATCCTCACTGATCGTCCACTTGGCCAGGCTCAGCCCCCGGCTACCAGCCTAGTCCCCACGGCCGCCGATCCAGCCTCCTCGTGCGACGCCAGATGCCAGTGGCGTAATGTTTTTGGCTCCTCCGAACTCGAAGCGTAGGCATTCTTTGCCCTCATCATCATGATTGCCATCATGTTGGCCATCTTTTCTTCCTTTTTTTTAGCGGGTCCAGGTTGGCACGAGCGTATTTGTTGGCTTCCTTTACCGAGGATAACCCATAGAGCCGTACGCGGATAGTAAACTAGAAAACTAAAGTCAAAATATGATTACGACATGAGAGGATCTGAAGTGAAGAATACGTAATTAGACGGGCCGAGAACAATACCTGAAATAAATGGTTGTTGTCGAGCTCAAGACACAAGCCGTGATCAAGTAGATTACTTTTCTTGATGAGCTTCTTGTAATTTTGGTTTGCGGAGGGAAGTGCGAGTAAGTTTCGACCTTTGCAGTTGGCTCCTCGCTTATACCTAAATTTGGATTTTGGACTGAAAAGAGGAAACACAAACTAGTTAGAAAAAAAAAGACACGAAATCAGCAACATGAAGGAGTGGGGGGGCGCTGAAGAGCTTCCTCAGTTCGCCACTAGTCGCCGATCTAGAACCATTCCGGCGTATAACCGTGCATGGTCTTGGGAAGGACGACGATTAGGGTCTTGTCGATGCCATCAAAATATAATAATTATCAGTGTCCCCGACTTCTTGTAGGTAAACAACACCCTCACTTCATCTTCTCAGCCCATGAGGACACGTTCCCGACTATGGATATCGCCCTACAGGGTCTCGCGAACGAGGTCCAATTCAAATTCAAAATTGTCAAGGAAGCCCACATCAACCTGACCTTATTCGTCTACCTCGAACGACTGGTTAAAATCAAGGTCATCAGCCTCACACAGGGGATTTTGCCTAACCACCAAAATTGGCATCGGATTAAGCAGCGTCTCCAACGCTGCAGTAGGAAAGTAAACCACTAGTTTACTTTCTCCAGTCCACTGCATCACCGAAAGAACCAGGGTTATCGCCGGAGGAATCGAAATTGGTCGCGGATTTCGACGACGACGATCGTGAGAAAAGCGAAAGAAAATTTAAAGCTAAAACTTGAAACTGCTCAAAGTTAAATTTCAAAAAATAAAACCGTCCAAATTCAAAACTTGAAAAAATGAAACTGCCCCCCTCCCCTTAAGTGGTTTCATCCTCTAAACCGACGATTGAGGAGCCGCCACGTGGGTGAAAAATAGAGGACTCGCGTCTTTTACGACAGAGATATAAGATGTTCGAAACACACTTTATTTAATGCGCGTGTTTAATGGGTTTGTCGGACCGAGTCTGGACCACACGTGTAACAGAAGACAAGCTAAACGACCAACTTGGATCTGACTATCAAACGACGACCTCGAAAAAAACATCGTGAACCTCCCATCCGAGCTCAGGGGCCCGTAAGTTGACATTCGAGTTGAGTTATAGGGGACCCACCAACTAATAAAGTACCAGCAAAGCATTGAATAAAGACGAACCCAAAACCAGGTCGACATCTGAATAGCCGGAAGTCCGATCTGAACAGAAAACAAAGGTGCCAAGGGCAGCAAGAGGAATGGATCCGGAGATCGACATCTCAGAGGTTGTAAGCCGAAGTCAACCTTCGAGAAAGAATGATTAAGGAAGATCGCGAGGGTCAAAAGTCAAGGTAACTCAAGTTGCAGCGAAAGTTCGACCTGAAGATTCGACCAGGTCAGTACCTGGAACATGCGCATGCCCTAGAAACAATAAAACATTGCAACTTGTCAATGAATTATTAAGGATGGTACGCACCCACCCTAGTCAGCAGCTGTATTAGACATATGTCTATAAGACGACCTGTCAGCATTAAATGCTTTCACATGTGCATTTAATGTTTGATAGGTAATCATTGGAACAACATCACATGGCATTTAATGCTTTTAAGAATGGCACATGGAATCTTTAACTTTTAGCCACTGTACGAAGTGATGGGATGAACAATACATGGTCTGTAATAGTATATTAAATAGGCAAACACCCTCAATTATTAAGGGTTGTTGAATAATTTGTCAACTCTTTGTCTCCTTTTCTCTCTTTACATTTACTCTATGTAATCAACTCATGTAATTATCCAAGTGTAAGTGAGTAACCGACCTAAGATAAAAAGGTCGACCACACTAAAAATGTAATAAAGTTTATTTTCCCGTACATCTTTCCCTTTCTTCCACTTTTATCCATTCTAAATATAAATCTAACCGTTGACCGATTTCAATCGTCAAAAATTGGTTGGCTTTTGGTTGTGCACGCACAACCGACTAAAATTTAGTTAATAATCAACCTAAAATTTTGCATCCCTTAAACATATGCATTGTCGTGCTTAGTCCCTTATTTGTTTTTTATCACTATTCTTGTCATTGTAAGACATGCCAACATAATTTTAAAAATAATACGTTTAATTTATAATTTGTATTATTATTAAATTTAAGACAAATAAACTAAATTAGAAAAAGATTCTAGAAAGTTAATCTTGAAAAAATTGTCTCAATTCGCTTGAAAATTCTGCACAGTTTAAATCAATAACAACAAATCAATCCACTATAGAAAAGAATAGACTGACTACACAAGTAAAAATATAAGGAATAAGAATCAAGTCTTAAGAAGTTGATGGGTCAAATATTTCATGTGGGCTTGCGGTCGTACACGCACAACCTGACCCAATTTTATTTATAATTAAATGTAAAACTTTAATTTTTAGTGACCATACTTTTGTCCTGATAAATGTTCGTGGATACTTCTATTGTAGTAAGGTACTTTTGCGTCGATAGATGTTCGTGGATGCTCCTATTATAGTGATGTAGTACAATTTATTGCTCATAATTAAAAAAAAAACAATGCAACAATTGCATCTTTACTTGTTCCCAAACTCATGATTTGTATGAATTTACAATGACTTGACTCCATTCCTTTCACAAATCTATTATAACTACGATGAAACATAAAAGAAGAGTAGTATTAAGTCGTAGAAATATTATTTAAGGGATGATAAATGTTCAACCTAAGATTTTGTTTAAGTGAAAACTACATGTGAACCACATAAAACATTACCATTACCCATCGAAGTATGCATTTAGCCAACAAAAGACACTTCTGGATAGGGCAGTTAGTGAAAGAGAAACGACTTTCATATTTAAAAAAAAAACATACAAAAAATTAAAAAGAACATAACTCAATTACTTTTTCAATTGAAGTATATGAATACAATCAAAAGTATTTTGAATTGTAAAAAATGAAAAAAAAAAAATACTCTTAGTACACTCAACGTGCGGCAGAGACCTGACCATCAAGTCAAAAGAAGCCACACGCGCCTTTGGCACATAGTTTGAGCCACCAGACACCTCATAACCGTCACCGCAATTCTCAATGCCTTCTTCCTGCCATAGACAGTTTCTATATCCCCACTCGAATGAACAATTGATGGGACACACAAAATTTGTGCACAAGTACGTGTAAAGAAAAATTGCAAAAAAAAAATTAAAAGCTTTAATATTTTAATATATGTTTCTTAATTCAATAATATATGAAAATCGTAGTAGTTTGATGATATAGGATATTATATACTCAAGGATAAACCGGCCCACTTGGCCGGTCGAGGAGGCCAAACCAGAAGTAAGCCGAGCCAAAAAGGCGGGAGGATTGACGCTCGAGCAACTCTAAGCTCGACCAAACAAGCAATCGAGCAACCCAACGCTCGACCAGACAAGCAATCGAGCAGTCCAATGCTCAGTCAGATACATAGGGCAGTCTATCATTTGATCAGATGAGTGATCGAGCAAGCTAGTCGTTCCCAACAGGGTGATCGCTTCGAGAAATTCATAATCGACCTAGTTATGGGCGCGTGTATCATAGACGCGCGTAGGAGCCTCTGACTGAAATCTCCAGAGAATATTTACCCCATGTGCTGGGGAAACACGTGTCAACAATGTATTGGGTGATGGTGATAACTACCTCTGATGACTCCCAACGTCCTGCGCCACCTCTGACATTTGTGCGGCGTGTCAGAGTACGGACGGGCAGCTTGGGCAGCCAGCTCACCTCATCCAGGCAGCTCTTAGGGCAGGTATCTCACCCTTATATAAAGGGGGTGAGCCTTTCTTCCAAAAC